GCATGGAAACATAGAATAAATCCATTGAAACATAACAAATGAGTTGAAAAATGCCAAGAAATATAGATCAAAATAAGACATGTTTGGCATTCAACAAGTGCTTAGAACCAGGTCACCGAAGATGTATCACAAGTCATGATTTAGTTTTCAATGAATTCAAGATGGCGTTCAAGAAAACTGGTGATGTTGGTTGAAGTGCTGAAATCTCTAAAGAAGTGCTGGAACAGGTAGATATTCCTGTTGAGGTGGAACATAGTGATGCTGAAGTGAATAACCCAAATGAAGTTGAAGAAGAAGAGAAAGATGCTGAAGAGACTGAGGAAACTGTCGATGACTACCTACTGGAAAGAGATAAGTTGAGAAGAGTCATCAAGCCACCTCAGAGACTTGGTTATGCATATCTTATAGCTTTTTCCTTAATCTCTACAAGTGAGGTACTTGAGGAAGAATTTAGAGACTACAAGGAAGCTATGAGGAGTCAAAATAAGACTGAACAGCGAAAAGCCATGGATGACGAGATGAAATCTCTTCATGATAATAACACTTGGGAGCTGATTGAGAAACTTGAAAGAGTTAGGTTAGTCAATTGTAAGTGGATTTTCAAGGCTAAGGAAGGAATCGAAGGAGTGATGTCGAAGAGTTTTAAGGCAAGGTTGGTTGCTAGGGGGTCAGTCAGAAAGAAGGTGTCGAATTTAATGATGTGTTCTTACTTGTTGTAAAGCATATATCCATTAGAATATTGTTAGCCATGGTGGCGAAGTTCGACTAGGAACTTGAACAAATGGATGTGAAGACATCATTCCTGTATGGTGATCTAGATGAAACGATCCTGATGCGGCAACCTAAAGGGTATACTGAAAAGGATAAGGAAGATTCTGTGTACAAGATGAATAGGTCTTTGTATGGCCTGAAACAATCTCCTCGACAGTGGAACATGAGATTCGATAAGTTCCTGGAACATATTGGTTTCACTAGGAGCCAGTTCAGTCACTGTGTTTACTTCAGATTTCGAATTGGAAACTCACTTGTTATTTTGTTGTTTTATGTGGATGATATTCTCATAGCTAACAACAATGTCGAGGATGTAATGGAGGTGAAGGCTGAACTTAATAAGGAGTTTGAAATGAACGATATGGGAGCTGCCACCAGGATTCTTGGGATTGACATCCGGAGAGATAGAAAGCAGTCGAAGTTATGCTTATCTCAAGAGACATACCTACAGAAAGTTCTCGACAAGTTTGGTATGTCGAATTCAAAGCCTGTTGTGACTCCAACAAATCCTCAATTTAAGCTTAATACTACTCAAAGTTCGAGTACTGAAACTAAAAGAAACTATATGATTAGCATTCCATATACTAGTTTATTAGGTTCTTTGATGTATGCTATGGTTTGTACGAGGCCAAGCATAGCGTATGGAGTGAGCCTTATAAGTAGGTATATGGCCAATCCTAGAAAGGCGCCCTGGCAAACTTTGAAGTGGATTCTTAGGTACATAAATGGGTCTCTAAATAGATTCTTGATTTATGGTGGAGCCAGTGGTGATGATAGCAAAGCTTAAATCGAAGGATATGTCGACTCTAATTATGTAGGTTGTATGGATTCAAGAAAAGCGACACTTCAGAATGTTGTTGCCTTGTCAACTACTGAAGCATAATATATTGCCCTCACTGAAGTTGTGAAAAAAGAATTATGGCTTGAAGGTTTTGCAAAGGAGCTGAAACTTCAGGGTCGAGTTATCACTGTTAAATGGGATAGTCAAAGTGCAATACATCTGTCGAAGAATTTAGCCTATCATGAGCGAACGAAACACATCAATGTAAGGTTGTACTTCATTAGAGAGATAATATAGTGTGGAGAAGTCCAAGTGCTGAAGGTTTCGACTGATGACAATGATGTTGATATGATCACCAAGACATTGTCGAGCTGCAAGTTTTTCCACTATATACAGTTGATAAAGCTGCATGAAGAAAGCTAGTTTATTCCCTGATTTTTGTAGAGTTTGTTCCAAGGTGGAGATTTGTGAGATATTCGATCAAACTTGAGTGTTGTGACAGGGTTGTTGTCAACTGTGATATCTTTCAGGTTTTTTGACAAGAGACAAGCATGAAGTCGAAGCTAGTTCATATGCTAACGTCGAAGTATTACATGTTGTAGTCGAAGTTATTTCTAGTATGTAATGTCGAATTGAGCCTTGTGTTATGTATTCAACTGTTTAGGTTAGCTTGTTGTTTAAGTTAACTTAGTAGCCTATAAATAGGCTAGATATCTCAGGTTGTTGAGAGAGACCAATTGTGTTATTCACTTATAATTATTTGTACCATAATTGAGTAAGTGAATAGAAAACAGTTTTACCCAAAATCCTATTCTCCTTCTTTCTTCTTTATTCTTTCTTCTTCTCTCTCTTTGTTCTAACTGTTTCATTGTTCACCCAAGAAACTCCATTTCTCAATCAAGAATTTGTTAATTGATATTGTTTCTCACAACAACTACTTTTGAATTCTGTTAAGATATTTAGTTATGATTACATACACCTAAGCCTAGCTTTGTTATTATTTACTTGATTGGTGCTTGTATAAAGGCTCAATTTTTCATTATAAATAATTAGATTAAGCAAGAATAAGTTTCCCATTCTCTCTTCTTTTACTCTTTCAAGAAGAGTTTTTAGTTTCCCTTTCTAAATGAGTCATAACTTTAAAATCTTTTTTTTTATAAGCAATGGATTCAATAAAAACGCAGAAGGGGTGCAACCCAAACAAACAACAATCAACGAGAATGTTACTTCCGCTTCAGACAAATAATTGGAAATTTAAACCATTCAAAGAAAGTACACCCAATAGGGTGATTTACTACCAAACAAAACCACTTCCAAGTCGAAGTTTGAATGAAGTGAAAATTTTCATCAATGTCGAACATTTTACTGTTGAATATTACATTGTTTCTTCCATTCCAAATTGCCCACACTACCACATACCAAATAAAGTTGCCATTGTCGTTCCCCACCTCCTTCCTCAACTTGAACACAAAACTTATGTAAGAGGATGCAACGCAGATAGGGGTCTCCTCCTGCATCAATGACATAACACACAGCCTGAATCAATACCTTCAAAAACAACACCTTTCTTGGCTAATTCGACTTTCGTCGCCACTCTCCCCAAACAAATCTGCCACGTAAAGATTTGGATCTTGGACGCACATTTGGAATTCCAAAGGATTTTCAGCGCCTTTTCCACATTCTCGTCAACTAAACTGTTGTGATTGGAAAACTCAACCAGAGTAGCATAGCAAGATTTTACAAAATAACTTCCGTTTTCATCTAGTTTCCACTCATGAACATCCTCTTCATTAGTAAAACGAAAATCAGACAACAAGGATTTGAGCTTAACAAGCTCCACAAACTCTTCTGATCCTTCGGTGAAAGAAGGGAGAGTAATCTTCCAATGCCAAGAATAATCACGCCAATATCCAAGATCATGAATGATGTTGTACTGATAAGGAAGAACATTATACAAATTTTGAAACATATCCTTCAAAGGACAATTGTTCAACCAAGTGCAATGCCAGAAGGGAGTCATGCTGCCATCTCCCACCTTCAAACGAATATGAACTGGAAAAATGTCCACCACAGTATTCTTTATGCATCCAGCTTTCATAATATCCTTCCACCAGATAGACTGCTTACAACCTCCAACAGGTTTACCACAACTCAGAACCTCGACAGCAATGTTAGAACTCTGCAAAGCGTACCTATGCTCCAAAATTCCTCTCCAAACCGCTTCTTCCTTCGAAATAAATCTCCACTTCCACTTCATAAGAAGAGCTTTGTTGAACAAGACAATATCCTTGATCCCAAGACCTCAATTGTCCTTAGATAAGCACACAGATTTCCAACTTATCTAATGAATGTGTTTCCTGTCTGAGTTTCCTCTCCAAAGGAATCTAGATTGTAATTTAAAAATCTCTTTTAGAATCTTCATGGGCGCCTTGTAAAAGAAAGCGAGAAAGTAGGAATCAAGCTCAAAACTGAGTTGATCAGGACCACCCTGCCACCAAGAGAAATATTTTTATTCCTCCATACAACCAGCCTTCTTTTGAAAACATCCACAATAGCTTCCCAGGTTTTAGAGTGTCTAGGGCAAGCACCAACCATAATTCCTAAAAATTTGAACGGAATGGACGTCACCTTGCAGTGGAGGAAGTTTGAAGCAGCTTCAATAAAGTCTCCCTTTAGGTTGACTCCACCAACACAGCTCTTTGAGAAGTTGACCTTCAGACTCATTACCATCTCAAATCCCCTAAGAATGGGCTTGATGCACCATAGATTATCCCAACTCTCATACCTTACTATTAGAGTATCATCCGCAAATTGCACTATATTATAAGTACAGTTTTCATTAACCTTAAACCCATGAAACAACCTTCTCTCCATAGCGTTCTTCATAAGTTTAGTTAATCCTTCCATCACAATAATGAAGAGGAATATGGATAATGGGTCACCTTGTTGTAAACCTTTTTCCACGTCAAAATCCTTGGTAGCACTCCCATTCACAAGTACCGACATAGAACCATCAAATACAAGAGAATCCATCCAAAACATCCATCTAGGCCCAAAGTTCAACTTCCTCATCAAAGATCTAAGTAAATCCCAATCGACACAGTCATAAGCTCTTTCAAAATCTACTTTCATAACAAAACAATCCTTATTTGTTTGCTTTGCCAAGTTCAGCAGCTCGTTGACAACTACCACCCTGTGTAACATAAACCTACCTTTCACAAATGCCATTTGTTTAGCCGAAATGATACTTCAAATAAGTTTGCTCAGATGCCCAGCAAGCTCTTTGGATAGGATTTTCTGAAACGAATTAACCAAGCAAATATGTCTGTAGTTAACAAGAAACTACGGATTGGTAGTTTTCGGAACTAAATTTATAAAAGAAGCCTTGACAACCTTAGTTAAAGAGGGATTAGAATGGAAATCTTGCACAAATCGCATGACGTCTTTCTTAATTGTCTCCCAGCAATCCTGAAAAAAAACCAAACGAAAACCCGTCAGGACTGGGGCTCTTCGACCCGTTGCAATTCCACAGTGCCTCCTTAATTTCTTCTTCAATAAATAATTTCTCCAACTCCTGATTATTTCTATTAGAAAGCTTTTCGAAATCCAACCCACTGAATATCGGCCTAACACTACCCTCCTTCTTGAAGTTCTCTTTAAAGAAATCTCTCACTCCCCTCTCAACTTCTTCAACCTCTTCTTTTCTGCCTTTTGGAGTAGCCACAGAAGAAATGAAATTCTGTCGTTGTCTACCTCGCACGACTCTATGGAAAAACTTGGAGTTTTTATCTTCGTCGTTCAGCCACATCACTCTAGATTTTTGTCTCAACAAGCTCTCCTTCATATTGAGCTTATTCCAAACTTCTTAAGAGGCCTCAGATCTTTGAATACGAAACGGTTCAACATCAGAGCAACCTTCAGCTTCACCTGCTACAACATCAAAACTATTCAAATGATTAACAACCTCAGACACTTTCAAACCAATTTATCCAAAAACCTTCGAATTCCACTTTCTCAACATTTCCTTGACCAATCTCAGATTTTCCTTCAATACGAAATCCCCTCTACCAGTAATCGTCAAGGACTCTCAAGCTTCCTTAAAGAACTTAGCAAAACCTAAATGCTTTAACCAGCAATTGTTAAATTTAAAAGACTTAGGCCCCCAGTCTTCAGAGTTTGCTCTCAGCCATTTCGGACAATGGTTCGAAATATCTCTGGATTCGATGCATTGCCCCACTAGATTTCAATCTTCTGCTAAATTTTCGAAAACCAAAAATTTGTCTATCTTGCTCATAATCGTCCCCGCCTTATTAAACCAGGTGAACCTTCCACCAATAACAGAAACATGTATGTAGTCGATTCCATCCAAAAAAAAAAATAGCCTTAAAATCTTAAATAGTTTAAGTTCTAAAAACTTAGACAAATACTTGAGGACAATAACCAGAAACTTTTCTAAAGACTTTTTATATCAAAAGAAGTATTTTTGTACAAAAACAGACTTTAATTTTCTTGTTTTGGGCTATTTATTTTCTTTCACACCAGATCATGCATCATGACACTTTCCATTTAAGGGTAATAAATAATTGTATGCATCATGTGATAACAAGTTCTATCGTTTTCAGTTGAGAGAAAGTAAGCATGAAACTTATTAATCAGCATGGGATTAGCATTAAGGACACTCCACTAAGGGTTCCACTAGCTACTACCCTATACCACTAGCTTGCCTAACCAATAGACCTAACGATATGAATCCATGATGATTATTACTATTTGTTTTTGTATTAATTTAGGTTGAAATGATTTCCATGGATATAACTAAACAACATGCCAACAATCATCTGCATAAAATTCATCCCAATCGTTGAATGATCAATTTACTTTCAGAAACTTGAAATGTGACTTTAAGACCGATTAATTTGAAGGATAAATTCTATTTTTTTCCATTCTAATCAACAATATAGTGATACATAACTTCATTCCATATTATTTTATCAAATTAAACATTATCAATAAAATATCTATTTTATTTTTAATTAACAGTTGTCAAAATTAATAATTATCTTTATTTAAAAGATAAAAATTTGTATTTTAAAATGTTAATTTTACTTTTTATTTTTTTCTCCATTTTACGGGTCTTATTATTTCTGTTTATTATTTTTTTAATGACTATTTAACATAATTAAGTTTATATAATTATTGTTAATTTTATAATTAAATAATTTATTTTAAATTTTCTTAATATGGAAGACAAGTTTTTAGGTATTCTTTAGTTTTAGTTGAGTACCGATGTCTTTATTATTGAATTATATAAATTATTAACTTTTTAAAAATAAAATAATATTAAAAATAATATAGTATTAAATATTGTCATTTGATTGGAGAAAGATTTGGTATTCAATTAATTTAAAAAATACCATAGTGTTCACAAATATTTAAATATATTATATATCATATCAAAATAAATTTACTTCTATACATAATACAATTAATGGTGATTAATCATTTGAATTATTTTCTCCAACTACATGCATTATTTTCTTCTGTATGCACGTAAATATATTTTTATAGTTATATTGTTGGCACAATAGTGAAAGTTATTAGTAATAATTCATATTTTATTATATTATTTTCTTAAGCCCATAAGTTTGTTAGAGGGTATTTTAGTATTTTATCTTATTCTAGTAACCCTAGTTTTAGCCTATAAATAGGGTGACAATCATTGTAACTCTTAATACTGTTTCTTCTGCCGTCATTCTTATTAGAATATTTCCCTATTTCATCATTTATTCTACCTTTGCACCAACAATTGGTATCAGAGCTCCGGTTCAGATTCATTGGGAAACACGGGAAACACGAGTGAACGTGAGGTCTTGTGTGTTTGATTTTTAGATTCGTGTTGAATCTTGAACAAAATCTGATCAGAATTTTATTCTGTGGGTTGGGAAACACTGTGTGAGAAATCTGAGTGTATTGTGCAAAGTAGAAGATGAACGGAAACGGCAACATGAACACCAAACTTCCAGTATTTGATGGTAAAAACTGGAATCGTTGGATGATCCAAATGCGTGTACTATTTGGTGCTCAAGATGTTCTAGATCTTGTCACTGATGGTTATGTTCCAGTAGCAGCAGATGCAACCGATGAACAGAAAAACGCGCAGAAGGAAGTAAGGAAGAAGGATCAGAAAGCATTATTCTTTATTCATCAATGTGTTGATGTAAATGTGTTTGAGAAGATTGCAGATTCAACGACAGCAAAGGCTGCGTGGGACACACTGGTTAGATGTTATGGTGGTGACGCATCAGTGAAGAAGGTGAAGCTTCAGTCCTTATTCAACGACAGCAAAGGCTGCGTGGGACACACTGGTTAGATGTTATGGTGGTGACGCATCAGTGAAGAAGGTGAAGCTTCAGTCCTTGAGAAAGCAATATGAGAATCTCAACATGAAGAATAATGAGAAAGTTTCTGAATACATCTCCAGAGTGATTCTGATCACTAATGAGATGAAGGCGTGTGGAGAAACCCTTTCTGAAGAAACAATCATGGAGAAGGTATTGAGATCCCTTACCTCTCAATTTGATTACATTGTGGTAGCAATAGAACATTCCAAAGATCTGAGTACCATGAGAATTGAAGAGCTGCAGAGCAGTTTAGAAGCGCAAGAGTTGCGTTTGACTGAAAGAACTTCTGAAAGGGAAGTAGAGCAGCAGGCTCTGAAAGCAATTTCTGATAGGAGGTATCAGAAGCAGTCAGAAGCCAAGAGAAGATCTGATGGTGGTCAGAAGTCAGAAACCTCAACCTCTGATAGACAAAAGAATGCTCAGAAGGGAAAAGAGAAGTATGACAAGAAGAAGATCCAATGTTACTGTTGTAAGAAGTTTGGTCACTTTGCTAGAGATTGTTGGTCAAACAAGGAGAAGAAATCAGAAGAAGCAAATATAGCCAGAAGCTCTGATGACGAATCTGTGCTGTTGATGGCCTCTGAATCTGATAATGTGGATCTGACAGACTGGTGGTATATGGACACTGGCTGTTCAAATCATCTTACTGGAAACAAGAAATGGCTGGTTGACTTTGACTCTGAAAAGAGAACAAAGATCAGATGTGCTGATGACAAATATCTTAATGCAGAAGGTATGGGAAATGTCAGAGTGACTCTGAACAATGGGAAAATAGCATTGATTCAGAATGTGTGGTATGTACCTGGCATCAGAAGCAATCTGATGAGTGTGGGACAATTAATTGAGAAAGGTTTCTCAGTTACCATGAAGGACAATCTTCTGAAGCTGTATGATTGTAATCAGAAGTTGATTATGGAGTCAGAACAGGGAAGGAATAGAACATTCAAGGTGAATGTCAGAACTGCAGACTCAGAGTGTCTTAGTGCAACAAGTACTGAGAAGGAGAGTGAGTTGTGGCACAGAAGATTTGGTCATTTGAATTTCAGAAGCTTACAACATCTGAACTCAAAGAAATTGGTACATGGAATTCCTGCAATTAAGAAGCCTGAAAAGTCATGCAAAGTTTGCATGGAAGGAAAACAACCAAGATTGCCATTTGCATCAGAAGTTGCTCCAAGAGCAAAACATGCCTTGGGAGTTGTACACTCTGATGTGTGTGGTCCATTTCTAGTAACATCAATTGGAGGGAATAAATACTTTGTGTTGTTTGTTGATGAATTCACAAGAATGACATGGGTATCCCTTATTAAGTTCAAACACGAGGTGTTTGATGAATTCAAGAAGTTCAGAATGAAGGCTGAGAATCAGAGTGGTCAGAAGTTGAAGATTCTTAGAACTGATGGTGGAGGTGAGTATAACTCCAAAGAGTTCCAGAAGTTCTGTGAGGAGAATAGAATTGAGCATGAGGTTACTGCTCCTTATACCCCTCAACACAATGGTCTTGCTGAAAGAAGAAACCGTACTTTGCTTGATATGGTGAGAAGCATGCTAAAGGAGAAGAAGCTTCCTCAGAAGCTCTGGGGAGAAGCTGTTGCCACTGCAACGTATGTACTCAACAGATGTCCTACGAAGAAGTTGAAGGAAATAGTTCCTATGCAGAAGTGGACTGGAGACAAGCAAAGTGTTAGTCATCTGAAGGTATTTGGTTCTGTTTGCTATAAACATGTTCCAGAAGCCAGAAGACAGAAGCTGGATGATAGAAGCAAAGTGATGATTCTGATAGGGTACCACAGTACAGGTGCATACAAGATCTATTGTCCAGAAACCAATAAAATTGAATTCAGCAGAGATGTGATTGTGAAGGAATCAGAAGTTTGGAATTGGGATAAGTCTCAATCTGATTCTGATGTTAGAACCTCTGAAGAAAGGCCAGAGTTAAGAATTTCTGAAGTTGAAGTAAACCCTGATATTGACTCTGACTCTGATACTGATTCAAACTCTGAAGAAGACTCAGAAGATGAAGGTGACCCAGATGACCCAGACTCTGATGATTCAGACTCTGATGGCAATCCAGATCTTGGTGGCAATTCAGACTCTGGAAATATGCCAGACTCTGAAGATGGTCAAAGCTTTGGAGGTCAATCATCTGAAGCTAGAAACTCTGAAGCTCAAGACTCTGAACAAGTTCAGAGACCACAAAGAATCAGAAGCGTTCCCAGAAGATTTGCAGAATTTGACATGCTGCAAGACACTGAAGTAGACTCTGAAGGTGAAGTTATTCAGTGTGCCATGTTAGTAGACTCTGAACCTATAAGTACAGAGGAGGCTCTTAAGCAGAAGCTCTGGCTGAAGGCCATGAAAGAAGAACTTGATGCTATAGAGAGAAACAAGACTTGGAAGCTGACAG